TTTCTTCCTGGTTGAGCTTTAGGCCATACAACTCTAACCTGTTCTCCCAGTTTTATACCTCATCTTGTAGCTCCTTTCTGGTACTTGCTATCAAGACCACAACATTTGCGTAGAGAAGTGTCCAAGGAGGTTCACATCTAAGCGATTCCATCACGGTGTTCACCACAATGATGAAGAGCAAGGGAGAGAGAACTGAACTTCAATGTACTCCAACCTTGATTTGGAATTCTTTCGATTGCCCTGCAGCTCTTTGCATATGGCTTGAAGCGTTGTGGTAGATCAGCTTTATCCACTGAACGTACTCCTCTGGGGGTAGGGGTCCGAAAGCCGCCAGTTTGGACAGCCTCCGCGGATTACTGGTCCTGGAACGACATGCAACAACACTGCGAAAGGACCAGTTGGCCGCGAAAGGCGGCTCAAACTGGCGGCTTTTGTTCCCCTACCCCTCCTCTGGCACCCTGTGTTTCCGCAAGGCCCACCTTATGACTTCATGGGGCACCTTATCGAAGGCTTTCTTGAGGTCCAGGAAATTGCATACAATTCCTTCTGCTTCTCTCTATTCCTCCATCATTATTCTAGCGGAGTGGATTGCGTCGGTCGCACCTACTCTTTTCACGAATCCACACTGATTCGGTGGCAACTTTATGATATCTTGAAGACGCGTTTCGATTATTCGCTCAAAGATTTTTTAGAGTGTGGCTCATCAGTCGGATTGGTCGGTAGGATGCGCAGTCTGCTATGTTTCCTCTGTTCTTTCATACTGGGATCGTCGTGCTGGTGTACTAGTCGCGAGGCATACTCTTGCTCCGATTTAACCGTTAGTCATGTGGCTCCGCATTGTCCACATATTTTCCAGAACTCGCTTGGTATGTCCCTGTCTCTGGGTCTTGGGTCGCTTTGCTATTCTTTGTTGTTCTTATGACTAGCCGTACTTTCTCTTCCGTGATTGCCAGTACTGATCCATCTATGGGGCTGGCTTCTGGAATGGAATTGATGGTGCGGTCTGTGGTGGCCAATTCTTCGAAGTACGTTCTCCATCTTTCGGTGATGTCCTCGGGTTTTTTTAGTGTTCTACCAAGTTTGTCTTTGATATGGAGATGTTCCATATTTTGTGTTTATTCCGCTCTTCTCGCTATCCTATATCTCACGTCCCCCCTCGCGAGACCCAGCCTCTCGTAGAGCTGTTTCATGTAACCTGTCTTGCATTCTTTACGGAAGCCTTCGCAGCGTGTTTTGCTTGTTTATGTGTCTGGCGATCGTCCTCCGATTTCGTCTTATGCCATCGCTTGGTACGCATTCCTCTTATCCTTTATGGGGAACGGAACTTACACCATAAGGTTGCCGCCGCCTAGTTAGCGGAGTTCATGACCTCTCATGAACTCCGCTAACTAGGCGGCGGCAACCTTATGGTGCATGTATGTTCCCTCACCACTCCTTTATGGCTTTTTGGGCCTCCTCGTCCCACCACCACGTTTTTCGATTTATCCTTCTTTTTCCTGGTTTTATACTTCCCAGGATCATGTGCCACCTCGTGGACTCGATCTTTCAGGCTCGCCCAGGATCGTTCTGGGTTCTCTTGCACGCTTGGTAGAGTTGTCAGCAGTGCTTGTTTCGCCGTGTTGTTGGTAATCAGTCTCCACCATTTAATGCGTGTCCTGGTCTCTGTGGTTCTCCTTGTGTGGCTATCCGTTGTTATTTTGATATCGAGAAGTAGTGGTCTGTGTTGAGGTATGCAGTTCTCACCGGGGATGACTTTGCAGCTTTTAGGGCCGCATGCACTAACATCCCCGCGGGGAGGGGATTGCAGCTTAAAAGAAAGCTTTATATTTCGAAACTTTAGATACCTGGATTTCACGTTGTGTACCTATCCGTAAGTATTCCTACTACCCTTCACTATGAACATGTCGAACAGGAGCGAGAAGCTGTACGAACCGCATTTTCTAGCTTTAATATGATCCCTGATGATCCCTGGCGCTTTTCTTCAAAGTCATTTTTCTTTCTCCGAAGTTAACGAAGAATCTCCAGAGTTGTGCAGATTGTCTAACCCGACAGTGCTAAGCATGTTGCTGCTAAGAACAAATGATGTTTTGAAGTCATGAAATTTGCGATGATCCACAGGTCGAAATTTGAGGCTTACCGAAAAATTCGACTTTTTAAAAAGTCATTTGTTCTCATCAGCAACATGCTTAGCAGTATTGTGTTAGATGTTCAGTACAACTTTGGAAGATTTTCGTTAACTTCGGAGAAAGAAAAATGACTTTAAAGAAAAGCGCCGGGGATCATCAGGGATCATACAAAAGCTGGAAAATGCGGTTTGTACAGCTTCTCGCTCCTGTTCAACATGTTCATAGTGAAGGGTAGTAGGAATATTTACGGATAGGTAGACAGCGTGAAATCCAGATATCCGGAGCTTCAGGATATGAAGCTTTCTTCTGAAGCTGCGATCCCCTCCCCGCGGGGATATTAGTGCATGCGGCCCTTAACGTTTTTGAGGTCACGCTGTCGGATAGCCCAGAAGTCTATTTGTGTTCGTCGGTCGCCACTCGCATATTTTATGAAGTGATCATCCTTCTTGATATAGTATGTGTTCGCCAAGACCAGATCATGAGCTGAGGCGAATTCTAACGTGCTCACCTTCATTGCAGGTTCTGTATCCGTGGTCTCAGTGACATTTCCCGGCTTCTCCTCGCCTTTTTCCCACATGTCCATTGAGGTCTTCTCCTAGAAGTGTCTCTTCCACTGGAATTGAACTGATGTGGTCATTTAGCTCCTGCCAGAACGCTTTTTCATCATCCTTGCATCCGGCCTGTGGCGCATAGGCGGTGATTACTCGTAAGACTTGTTTCCTAGTATCTACCTTTTTGCTTATCAGACGATCGCTTATGCGCTCAACGTCAACTATGTTGCTCCTTAGATTCTCCGAGACAGCATACCAACCCTGTTTCTGGTGCAGATGGCATTCTTGTAGAGAAGCTTATATCCATCTCCGATGTCGCGTGACTTTGCCCCGCTCCACTTCTTTCCTGTATGCAGCTACGTCGACTCGCCCTTTCTTCAGAATATCCGCTCACTCTCGAGAACGAGAGGTGAGTGTACCCTATATCGATGGTAGTTAGACGGAGAGTCTGCAATGCCTTGGTTTGTTGCCTCTGGTGAACTAGCCGCTTTAGTCATCCCCGTTCACCTTGCTGAGACGGTAAGGGTGACTGCAGCAGTCTGCAGCTGACTGCACTGACCGCAGCAGACTGCACTGACCGCAACGCCCACACAGATCGCAGCATGCTTTCGTAAAAGAGAAAACAATTGCAATTACGTCAGAACACCGTGATTTACGCCTAGGAAGTGTAGGTTCTAACTTACCATATTTGTTCTGATTCCTTCTGTTATTGCATATACCCGATTACTCTCGCTCGTATTGTCTTTTGGGTCTAGGTATATATTGTTGTTGATTGCTTGGGCTACAAGTATTTATCCTCTTCACCTTCACGAAAGGATGTAGCGATCTGTGCGGTCCTTGCGATCAGTGCGGTCATGCAGTTTGCTGCAGTCAGTTACATTCAGCTGTAGTCAGCTGCGGTCTGCTGCAGTTTGCTGCGGTCAGTGCGTCAGTCTTAAACAACCCTAACTCTCGCCCACTATTGGCTTTCGTCGGGCTCGAATGCCCGTCGCCTCCGGGGGACGCCCTAGCCTTTACTCATAATATTTTATGAGACATGTCTGCAGTATTTGATGCGACGCGGTCTTTCTCAGCCGGCTTGTCGCGTCTCCTGGTCATAGAATGAATTATATCTGCCCTCACCCCCCACTCCCCCCCCCCTTTACCTTGGCGCCGTGCCACTTAAGCACCAAAGACTTTTGAAAGGCACAAAATTTGGGGATTGTCGCCTTCCGCACCACACCCCTTTGCACATATACCTGAACGACCCTTCTTCTTCATTCTCATCTTCGTAATCTCATAGTATCGCCTTTTGGAGAGAAACAAGCCTGTAATGGGGAGATTCTGATTTTCTTAAATGTGTGTTTGTTTTTCTGCGATCGCACGTCTAAAACGAAAACAGCATAGTTGACGTCGCCCTTGGCGGCGTAGCACGAGTTCCCAAACTTCGTCGCTTTCCCTTGCAGGGATACTCAGGAATTCCCTAGGAGGCATCACACCTGCTTTTTTGTTTTTTCCTTGTTACTTTCAAATTACTAGACATTGCACTAGTTTACTGCGCTACGAAGATAATCCGTAGGTGGAGCAATGGGGGCGTCAGCCTGGTAGGTCGGTGGATCGGCGGGTCGAGCTGCAAAAGCTCAGGCAGCCTGACCTTGAAGACAGCGTGGCGGCAGAGTAATGGTTACTGGCATTTTACAGCGTTGCAATGGTAGACCTCAACTAACCTATCAGTGAGGTCTGCAGAAAAAACGCGCTTGGAAAGCCTGAAATCCACGCCGAAAGTCTTTCGACACCGCCCATTTATCGTCGATTCGTTGACCGCACGGACTGCTCAAACGCTGCGCACCACGCGCGGCACGGTTGAAATGTTGCGAGAGCATGATGTACAATGGGGAATTTACTGGAGCAAGCGTTTTACCTCGCGGCGCATGCTCTGCAGCGATGCCCAGTCCGTGCGATCAACGAATCGACTATACATGCAGTTTCCAGCGGATGCGTATATGAAGAGCTTCAAAAAAAAAACTGGTTTTCGCCACCTTCATGCGCTTAAAGCGATATGGGTTTAGCAAGGCTTTGAAAAGGTGAAAAACGGGAGAAATTTTGCAGGGACGTTGCCTTTGAGGTACAGCTAAAGTTAATGAGGTGCCTCACCCCATTAACTTTTTCGAATGAAGCTTTTCCACTCAAGTTTCATGCTGTTCGATAGCACCGCATAATCGCTAAAATAAAGAGTTAACGATCGTGAATCTATGCTGTGTGAGCCCATCTTGCGATTTTGGTCTTTGAGCTGTGTTGAGTGCACGACTTGCTGATCAGCAAACAACTTCTTGCTTTGATTCAGGAATATCGGCATTTTTCTCAACAATCTGAAAAGGTACGAAGAAGCTGTAACATATCTTCGTGAAGCTGATCAAATCCTTGTGAGTCGCTCCTGTTTCACCTTATTTTCACATTCTTAGTGGCAGAATTTAGGAGTTCACCCTGGATTCTGATCATACAATGACCGTTGAGAATCGTGAACTACTCAAGCAGACACTATTGAATATGGGAGCCGGAGAAGAGCTGCGGAAATATTTAGAGCCTTCTAAGAAAACGTTTACCGAGGTCAAGGATAGTGAGACAAATGGCAAGACCGAGCATGTCTCAGATTCTGCTGTGCATGAAGAAGCTAAAAAAGGCGATTTGAATAAGGAGGTGCAAATCGCAATCTCGGAATTAGTTGTGGAGGACAAAACTCCTTTAAAGATTGCTTCTACTAAGAAGAATACGCTCAAGAAGAAGTTTGCTGATCTCTTTTCTGAAGATCTTTCGGATTTGCCAGATTTGATTCCGTAAAAAGTTCTTCTAAATCTTTATTGCATCTCAGTAATTATCATTTTGTGCCTTTGAGGGTGCCTTTGGAAATGGTGCTAAGATTTTTGTTCGAAGTTTAATTTACGTGCACGTTGATGTTAGATGTTATGTCTGTTCAAGTACAGCTTCTCTTGCGATTCGTCATCTTCTTGTTTTATTTCTTGCCTCCTACATAGAAATGGAAGTTCTGTTTATTTCGTAAAACAATAAATAATACAGTTGTGGATGTTTGTTTTGGTCAAGGAAATTGCACCGCCAAATTTTCTGGCTACTTCGGTGTTTTTCAATGGTTCTGATTGGTTCAAGGTAGCATATTTGTTCATTTGCTCTTTGAAGCGGCACTACCAGCACAATGAATCGGAAGAGGTTACAAATAGGACCGCTCAAAAAAGATCACAGTCAGTGTGGCTTCGATCCAAGCAAAGGAATGATAACTGGAAAAAGCGCTGAAAACAAGATTATGGGCCAAATGTAAGTTATGTAAGTTTACACATTATTGAGTCTTTTTACAAATCACGTATGTGTAAGGTTTGTAGAGAAGATGAGGATGAAGTTCTAGGCTTTCTTGAGTGCCAACTTGCCATGGTGCTGCGCTACACATCTGCGATATTTTCGAAAATCGTGCACATTTTCGAAGTTCACTCACAAAAGAAGCGCCGCAAAAACCGTCAGTCTGCATTGCACTTTCTGATAACCTGCATATCCGTTCTTAGCTCATTCTTGCATTATACAGCCCCTTCCCCCTTGATATTTCGTAACTAGCTAAGTAATGGGTTCCACGTAACCGGGTGTGAGTGCGCTTGTTTGGGCCGTTGTTAAGGACGCGCAGTTTGAGCGTACCATATCCAATGTTAGTAAGTATACGTATTTTATATTTTCTTTATGCTGTAGTCACTGCTTTCAGGAACTATATTCGTATGTATCTTGCTGGAAAACTCGTGTTCCCGCCGGACACAAGGGAGTATTCCTTTGAGTTCAATGATCTCGAAGAATTAGCCTCACTTGGAAATGGTAGTTTTGGTACCGTCAAAAAGATGCGTCACATACCTACCGGAAAATTGATGGCTGTAAAGGTGAGTTTTGACATATCTCCCAGTCATACTGGAGTAACAATAGTAGCGTTGAATGCGATCCTTCACCATCATATAGGCGAGTATCTCTGCTAACATTATAGTAGTCATATTATGGTAGTTGCATGATTTTCACAGCTGACTGTGTGACCGAACCTTCAAGACAGAAAAAAAACAGATCAATGTATTAGGTTGATGCAAAAGTAATGGCCGATTTGCGAATTCTCACTTTGACGTGCTATAACTTTCCAAAAGATCCACGTTTCTGAATGCAGTAAAGACTCCCAGAAGCAGCAAGCCTTTCGCAATACAGCGCATACTTATTATACTCAAACCATAAACGGGAAGAGAAATACGGACTAAAAGACAAAAAAGGTTCTTCTGCTAGAACCTTGTTTTGACAATTCATAACTTCCTTCAAAGTTTCTTAGTATGAATGATAAGTAGCCTATCTTGTAGCCGCAAGCCAGTAGTACAAAATACAATAAAAAGAATTCGGACAAAAAAGTTTGCGAGAAAGAAAAAATTGAAATTTAAAATTTCTCAGTTTTTTCAACATTTTTTCATTGTGCCTCAAAGTCCGGTATATAGAATTTTCTGATTCTCTACGTACTGAACAGCTGGATGTTTTTGCAAAAACTGCTAGTAAATGTCCCAGCCCTACGCTTACAGAATTGAGCAAAGCTTCGGCGACTGATTTCCTCAGAAGAAAACTATGGGTCATAAAATGACCGCAACAGCTACCCATGTTTAGGCGCCGATATCTCAGTTTGGATAACTTCAGAGAATACAATTAAGTATGCATAATGTAGACAGTTCCTATTACATACAACAGCTAATTTTCGAAGAAATCCCATTGATACGCGCTTGAATTCTGGCCGGAAAAGTGAATGCAATGAAATTCTGAATTTGGATGCGGTTATTTGAAGCTCAGTAACTTTATAAGAGATAAGGATTGGAGCCCGCCTCAAGCACCGTTAGATAGAGTATGAAAGCTTCGCGACGGTATATTACATTTATTGTAAAGAAGAAGTATTGATGGAAAAAGTTGCTCTGAAAAAAGGCTTGGAAAATTGGTCACTACTTTTGCATCAATCTAATATATATTCTCGCTTTCTCAAACATGATGATTGTTCCCAAGCAACGGAGGAACTAAGAAATAACCCGGCGGCCAATCCTTGTGCAGTGGCACACACTAGCGAAGAAAACTATCCCACTGTATGTACTGGAGTGACTCAAAAGTAATGAAGACTTCAGATATTTTTTTCCACCTATCCACAAATCAAACAGAGTAACAATAGACGATTTCTCCCTACATTACCAGGCGCAGCTTTTCTTCCTTTTACAAAAGCTATAAACTTCAACCAAATCTTCTCATGATCGATGAAATATCCGCAAAGCTCTAAAACCAAAGCATCTGCCGTTCAAACTGTATATGTACGGATAGCTGCGTCCAAAAATTTTGAATTGTGATTTTTTGAAGCGGTACTCAATTACTTTGCATAATCAAGATTTGGTAATATTGCAATTTTCAAAAATTAAAGGCTTTTGGAAAAATCAGCTCAAAAAGCAAATGGCTAGTTTTGGAAGAGCT